CTGTTTTCTCATCATTGTTTTTGAGAGCTTTACGAATTTGTAGTCCAGAGTTCATAGATGAAGAAATTTCCAAAATTGATGAAATAGCTAATGATCCGAAATACCCAAGAAACGTAATTGATAAATCTTTTAAAATTGCTAGAAATACTTTTTACAATCCAAAAAAGGACATCCAACCTTATTCACCTAAAAATATGTTGGTTCTCCCTTACCATGAAAACTAGGTTGATATGCCTTCTCTTCTTAAAACTTTTAATATCAAAGTTGTATTTAAAAATCTTGATACAGTAAAAAGACTTTTGATAAAGAATTCCCCCCAAAATGCTGACGGATGTGTCTATAATATTCCTTGTAAAATTTGCGATAAGTTTATTACGGTCATACTGGTAAAAATCTCGAACTAAGATTAAAACAACATAAATATAGCATTAGAACTGGACAAGATTCCAATGCTCTATTTATTCATGTGAAAGATTTTAACCATCCAATTGATTTTCAAAAAGTTGAGAAAGTTGTATCAAGGAAGTCCATGGTAGACAGGAATATAATTGAATCTTGTTTCATAAAAAGCAGTTTTGAAAATACTATGAATATTTCCTTTGGTTTATATAAATTAGATTCATTTATAATTAATAAAATTTGAGAAGAATTTAATAATACATTGGGCAAACAATAAATCTTAATTCTTGAGTAGAATATTTTGTTAGTATGATGTCGTGAAGGACCTGTCTAGTTGGGCCAGCGGGCCTACTGCAGTGTTCTTCCTTTCTTATGAGTCAGGTGTCGTCGCACATCGGATGTTGCTTTGTTGTGGGATGTGATGGTGAGGTGTGTTCGTAGGTTCGAGTCTCCTTCAGCCAGAGATCAGTGTTTGTGTATATTTCGCCTGCTCTTGCGAATTCCTTGCATTGTTATTATCTCTAGTAAGGCTGATGCATGCAGGAGATGAGATGAAAAGCTGTAAGCCTTCTCCCTGAAAGCTGGCTGCCTTGGATCAAACGTCTAGCACAAGCTAGACGCCAAGGTATTGTCAAGTGTGGTGAGAATGGTAAGGCCCAGCGTACCTTGTTACAAGGTTCGTAGGTTCGAGTCTCCTTCAGCCAGAGATCAGTGTTTATATATATATGTCGTGCCGAATAGGCAGAACTTGCAATCTTGGCTTAAACAGCAACGCTCATCTTGCCATATAGGACAAGTGAAAATTTGTGTATACAATAATTTCGCCAAAATCAATCTGAACCTAACGAAAAAAATATATTTCTCTGTGTTTGTTTAGTATTAAATTATTGTAAACAAATCTAAAATATGTTAAGTTGGGTTAGGCTAAAATAAATTGCTCTTGTTATAATAAGGTTAGGTAAGTTTTCTAAGATTCTTCTAGTGCAAAATTAATTTTTTTTACATTAACATTAATGAAAAAAATATATCTTTAAATGTATAAGAGAAAATTTCAGAGAGGGCTTAATTTTAAATGAGTTCTTGTTAATTGACAAGTTTTACATATTCGGCACGACATATATTTAAAATATATATATATTATATATATATATTATATATATATTTTTATTATATATATAATATATATATATATATAATATAAAATATTTTATCTCACGCAGGCGCCTGCACCTTCCCCTTTTATATATATTTTTATGCAATAAGATCACAAAAACAGGTGATTTCAAAATATGCAAAACAACCCACTCTGAAAGAATAGAGAAATTCCAAGCGCCTTCGTACTATTCACATTATCATAGTTCCTTGATAATGTGAATAGTCACGAAAGCGTGGAATTTTCTCTATTCTTTCAGAAATGGTTGTTTTGCATATATATATATATTTTATTATATATAATATTTTATATATTTTATATATATGTTATATATATTTTTATATATATATATATATATATATATATATATATATATATATATATATAATATATATATACATATATGGTTTTATATAAAATATATATAATTTTTATATATTTTATATATATATATATATTATTTTATTTTATAAAATATATTTTATTATATATATATATTATAATATATATATATTATATATTTATACATATATGTATATATTTTATATATTTTATATATATATATATACACTCTGAAAGATAGAGAAATTCCAAGCGCTTTCGTGCTACTCACATTATCAAGGAACTATCAATAGTTCCTTGATAATGTGAGTAGTCACGAAAGCGCTTGGAATTTCTCTATTCTTTCAGAGTGGGTTTTTTTGCATATTCTAAAATCACCTGTTTTTCTGTGATCTTATTGCATATATTTATTTATATATATATATTATATATATATATATATATATATTATATATATATATATATATGCAAAACAAAACCACTCTGAAAGAATAGAGAAATTCCAAGCGCTTTCGTGACTACTCACATTATCAAGGAACTATGAAAGTGAAGCATCCAAGGAAGCTATATAAGGGGTCGGCCAGCACCTCACTATCAGATCCCACA